TAAGAAGGTGTCATGGCAGCAAGAGCGTTTGCTAGGCCGCGACCGACGCTATAAGGTCCAGGATTATACGCGCTCCCCCGATTGAACGAAGACAAGCGGGGCATAATTTAGCGGACTCTTCCACTTTCTGCTGACGGGAAGCTCAATCGTGTGTAGGTGTTGTCCCGAGCCGAAAGACCTCGGCCAGACGGGTCGGTGGAATCGGTGTGTCTGTCGACACGCAAGAAGCACCGTGTTCGCGGCGTTGAATGTTCGTGTGAGCTCTGCAAGCCGTGGCAGTCTACTGCAGGTGTGGACCTGACTAAATGCCAGTGTGGGTCCGGGGAACGGGATCCTAGCCCGAAAGTATGGATAGAGTTCCAGAGGGCAGCCGACGATCGTCTTGAAATTAGTCGTGGCACGACTTGCAAGTATCCTGGGCGTCATGTTGTGAAGGTGATTACCCCTCTGCAACCCCTTTTCCCGCGCCCTTCGTCATCGTGCAACACAGACCAGCCGCCCTAGAGGGAGGGGCGACGGATTGTTTGGTATTGAAAGCTGTTGCAAAGAACTGGCGCAGGCGTCCCTAGGTGGGAAGTGAGGCGGTGAGCCACCATCTGCATGGCCTGCATCTGATAACTGGCGGCCCACTACTCCTCCAAGAGTGAACTCGACCTTGTTCTTACCGCCTCTTCCTCTGGCGGACGGAGAGCGACAGCGGGTGCTCGTTGAGGCTCTTGTGGGAGAACCATTGGACAGGCGGCTGCCATGTCGCACACCTGGGCCCAGAAGCCTAATGGTTAGGGTTACCCCGGAATGTAAGACTTCGGGATTATTATTGCAGTATCAGAGGTTGTTGATGGCCTCGGTGTGCGATAGTCAAGAGTACATTGGAAGAGTCGCAACCTTGGGTGGTAGCAGGGTGCCTGTCACTAATAACCACATGGGCAACCTCAAAGCTGCCAGCTATACAAACACATGTCAGAGCCAGCAAAAGCATCGCAATTAATAGATGTTAGACACTGGACAAGTCGCGTTAGATACACTAGCGTGATATCCATGGATCCGTTCCCGCAAGCAAGGTGTATGGTGTGAGGCTGGCTGGCTTGGAGGCTTGTGCGCCGCGGCGGCCGAGCCCCTCGCCCTTTCTGAGGTCTCTCTTGAGACTTGACATCCTTCCCCTCTATCTCGGTCACAACGGTAGCCATTATTGTTCCATCATCACGCGCGTAGCCATACGGTGCTGACGCCTACGACTTCCTCTCTTTTTCCCACCGGCATACCTTCGCAGCTTTTTCGCCAATACGCGGGATGAACGAGGCGGCGCACAGCGATTCCATCACGACCATCACCACCACAATTTAACGCCACTATTCCATCCATTGAGATGGCGTCAAACTCTTCGCCCGCCGTGCGCAAGACAGGCGCGCCCGAAAAAAAATACAAATGTCAGCAGCGCCCTGTACGAGGAGCTGTACGTGAGAACATCTACTGACCTTCGTCCAGGCCAGTTTTGCAACCGCGCTTTCAGCCGTAGCGAACATAGATCGCGACATGAACGCTCACGTAGGTCAAAACTCCCGTCTTTTCCGTCGCGATGGAGCTTCGCTGGGCGGGGCAGCTGTTTACGCGTTCGCCCCGCGCGTACTGTCGTTGCTACCTGCCCCGCGTTTGTTGGAAAGATTGAAGCTGACGTTTGCGACGACACATAGACACCAAAGAGAGACCGTTCAAATGTGCCAAGTATGTTCCCCTACACAGACGCATTATGGGAAATATGCTGACTTCAAATTTAGGTGTCGCTCGACATTCGTACGTCGCGATCTCCTCCTAAGACACGACCGCACCGTTCACGCGAAGGATGGTGGCGCGCCCCTCCCCAGCGAGCAGAAGCGCCGAACGAACACCAAGGCAGCCGAACAGAAACAAGCCACGGCCGAGAGCGCGACGACACTCGAGCGCATCGAAGCCGAGAACGATGCGATGCACGAGGATGAGGACCTCAACGCGGCGGCCATGTTGATGACCGACTTCCACCACAAGGCAATGGCGAGCCAAGAACCCGAGATGATTCCCGAGCACAACGAGCCCGTCATCTCGCCCACGGGCCCCTCAATGATGGAGCCTGTCATCCCGTACACTGCCCCCGGCCAGAACATGCTTCCGCAGATGCCGTGGCGAGACTCAATGGTGCCTCAATCCGAGCCCAAGTCGTCGCCCAACACCCACTCAGCTTTCAACAGCGCCAGCGCGCTCGGCTCGCATCCCCACCAGCTTCCACCCCTGATGGAGCGCACCATGTCTGGCAGCGACAGCCTCGCGCCTACCTTCTCAGCAATGAACGGCGGCAATGGATTGGGTACCCCTGGTGCCCTGTCACCCTACCCCTCCATGATGGGACCCGTATCACCAGTCGACTACCGCAAGTCACCCGGCCCCAATCAGGCTCTGATGATGACCCGCGCCCCTCAGCTGGACTCTGAAGAGCAGTGTGCAAGGATCTACGAGAACATCAAGCAGTACGACAGTGAAAACTCGCTCTTGGAGACGTTCCACTTGCCTAGTCTGAACACGCTGAACCGCCTGTTGAAGACGTACTTCGATCTGTTCCACCACCATCTGCCTTTCTTGCACCCCGCCACCTTCAACCCCACCGAGGTGTCTGCCCCGCTATTGCTTGCTGTGCTATCGATAGGTGCTCTGTACATCTTTGACCAAGACCAAGCCTATATGCTGCACATCGGATCAAAGGTCCTAGTCAACCAATTTCTCCAGAACAAGGAAAACTTCAGTTCCCGCAAATGCCCCTTGTGGACGATGCAAAGCACCCTGCTCAACATGATTTTCTCTAGCTGGAGTGGCGATCCCAAGGGCCTTGAGTGGGCTTGTTCGATTAAGAGTCTTCTTGCCAATGTACGTATATGTCCTTCTTGCTCGTGATCACCACTAATACATCGTAGATGGTCGCTGGAAACCGATACGAGCTCAAGCTCCGATCTGATGCCCGTGATGGCGCTCAGCCAAACCACGAAGAATGGGTCGTCGACGAGCAATGCCGACGGACTTACTATGCCGTCTACATCTTCTTCGGCCTACTGACGCTCACCTACAACCACACTCCTGCAATGGGTTTCAATGAGTTCGACACCTTGGAGCTGCCTTCTTCGGAGTCGCTCTGGACCATGGAGGTTTCAGATGACGAAGCCTGGCGCGAGAGCCTGAGTGCTTCCAGGATCATCACGTTCCGCCAAGCGCATGACAACCTATTCCAAGGCGAGACTGCTCGTTACAGTGCTTTCGCCACACGCGTCATGATCAACGCATTGTTCCTCGAAGTATGGTACCACAAGCGTAGCCCTGAAGCTCTTCAAGACGTAGTCACCGAGTACAAGCTTCGCCTGGCCCTGGAAACATGGGAGAAATCGCTTGAGCTCTGCGAGCCTGAGACAGTCGTTGTCCAACTGAGCGCTCCACACAAGGGGCATCCTCTTATTTTCAACGCCATGGCGCTGTACAGAAATACCAGGGCCCGACTCGTGGTCGATCTCAAGTCCATCCAAGAAGCTCTCCGCTATCACGACTCCTACGAAGTAGCCGCTGCTATGACTAATGCCCGCGACAAGGTCCAGCGTTCACCAGAGATGATCAAGGTCATCCAAGAATGCTTCGATTGCATCGAGGTCGCTGCCGTGCAAGGCATACGCTGGGTTGCTCGAACTTCCGCTACCAACTGGAGCATCGAGCATCCACTTACGGGCATGGATCTGATGGTCATCTTGACGCTATGGCTCTACCGCCTGGAGCACGACGAAGAGCCAGCCACCGAGGAGGAGCTAGCCATGTACAACAAGCTGCGCAACCTGTTTGATGACGACTCTGTGGATGTCTACGGTGCAAAGCTGAGCTCCACTGTCGCGCGACTATGGGGCAGCATGATCGACGAGGTCGTCGTTTGGGGGTATGTAAATGCTTATCTATCTTTTGGTAACCTGGCACTAACGATATTTAGCATCACCAAACTTATGGGCGAAGCTTTTAAGCTACATTCGCAAGCACTTGTTGGCTACGAAGATGCCATGTCGTCTCGATCTGGATCCGCTACGCCATCAATGGCTGCTGGTGGTGTCCAAGTGCTCGAGATGCAGATGGCCTACTAAGCGAGAGACAGCTTCCGCAGCTGGTCACGATCACCCACGATCTTGTTTCCATCTCGCGTCACTTTTACAGATTGTGGATTTCTTCCTATATTTCGTCCTCTCCTTGCACTTGGGAGCATGGCAAGGAGTTTGGCGCCCCGAGCATCAGTCTATTGTTTATTTCATTTCATTCAATTTTTTCAAGATCGGGGTAATACGGCGCACAGGGCGGGTCTGGTCCAGATTCCTACATTCTCGAGCTCATGCTCTACTCATTTGGCATTCTTCTAATACCTCTCCCTCGCTCATACCCATCGGCATTTCTGGACTGTTCAAGGCTGGCCCTAGGCGCGTTATTGCTTCACTTCGGTTCTGCTACTAGCGCTGCCTTTGTTGCATTCTTGCTAATATCTATTTCTTTTTGCCTGTACTTCGGTAATGCCTTTTCTTGGTGGCATTGGGCTATTTCCTTACATATACCATAGTATGTCATGATTCGACTTCGCGGTGACGGAGATGGGGGATATTACGGTAGTGGATATGAAGTCAAGGTGTAAATCGGTCTCAAATAGTACTGTATGAATACGTCTTCTTATGCCATCATGACTTGAACGCAAATTAATATCTGCCTTGCTGTGATGTTTGTGTTCTTTGCGAAGTCGAGCTGTCGAGCAAGGGAGAAAGTGATGCGGTTAGCTACGTAACAAGCTGACACAAGAAACGGTATTGCCATTGACAAAACTACGACCCGAGAGTGTTTCGCATGATAAAGAATCTGACGAGCTGCATGCATTCTTGGTGAAGTATGATGATACCTACATGCGCACTGCGCGCGAACTTGTTTACATACTGCCTTCTTTGTCCATGATCCTTCGTCTCTCGTTTCTACAAGCCAGAACGCCTAGCTTTAGTTTTCTCAATCTGTAATTCCAAGTCTTCAATCTCAGCTTTGAGAGTAGCTGACTCGATCTTCAACGCTTGCGCCATGATCTTGATCTTGTTTAGCTGCTGCTCCTTCGACTTCTTCAACGCCATCTTCGAGTTTATCAGCTCCGTCAGCAACTCATCGTGCGCACCAACGCGTCCCCTCTGCTCGGCAGCGCGTTCTCGCTCAACAGCGTTTGCTCGCTCAGCAGCAAGAGCTTTCCTCAGGTACTGCAGACACACGTTCTGATGTGTTTGCAAATCCGCTGCGAACTCGAAAGTCTTGCTACAGCCATCACACGAACTTGTGCACATGTGCTCCTGGAAGAGTACCTTGTCTCCGAAGGTCTCACCACAGCCTTTGCACGTCAAAGAACAGGTGCTCTTGTGGGTGTCGAACGATGTCTTGTCAACGAGGGTCTCGCCACAAGCGTTGCAAGTAAGCGTGCATGCCGTCTTGTGGGCGTCCAAGAGTACCTTGTCCGCGAAAGTCTCGCCACATGTATCACAAGTAAGAGTACAGGTGCTCTTATGGGTGTCGAAGGATGCTTTGTCGACGAAGGTCTCGCCACATGTATCGCAATTAAGCGTGCATGCCGTCTCGTGAGCATCTAAGAGTAGCTTGTCGGCGAATACTTGGCCGCACAAAGCGCATCCATGGCCTTGACTTGCGTCGGGATGCACTGCCTCCGTGTGAGCCGCTAATTCCCATTCGTAATGGAACAGACGTTCTTGGCCAGGCCTGGTGGCGGTGCAGCGCGTGCACATTACCGCAGGTTTGACAGGATTGGGCTCGTGTGCAGCTTTTGAGTGAATATGTAACGATAGAAAGTTCTGGAATGGAAGGCCACATCCCTTGTGTTGGCATACGGCCTGCCATTTTGGTGGACTCTCAACCGGAGGTGGAACGTCAGCGCCCTTATGAAGTACGTGACCATGAGTGTGTTTGTTGTCCTTGGTCAGCGGCAACGTCCTACGTTTCGGCATTTGCTGGTAGACGACATAGTGAATGACGCCGTTACTGTTGATGGCTACCTGCGGGTGCTCTTGGACGGCGTATGACTGCCCGAGGTCATCGAACTTTTGCCAGATACCGTTTGTCAGGGAGTAAGTGACATAGTGGCCACCACTGGTACCGGGAAAGAACACATTGACGATGACAAGCTGGTAAATGCAGTATCCACCCAGAAATACTGCTTCCTTGGGACTTGGGTCCGATGGTAGTTTTGCGTAGTCTGCAAAGTTCAAAATATCCAGGTAAGCTGCAACCTCCACACCGCATAGCACTCGCTCGCCAAAGGATTCGGCACGGTTGAAGCGGATGTACATGTACTCGGAACTGCGGGTGATACGCTTGTGTTGAACTTTGGATCCCGCGTGAGCGCGACATCCAGAGGCACAATGGATTTTGTCGTCCAGCTCTTTCCGTCGCCACTGTCTCAGCATATTATGTAGAGAGTTCTCGTCTGATTGAGGATTCTCAAACTCAAGATCGAGCATCTGCAGATCGCAGGTAAACTTGCGGGAGACAAGACCGCAGTCGCTGCACTTGCTTTCCGTCACAGTCTGGATGCAGAAGGCTTCGAACATCCAAGAATCCCAACCTCGTCTCATATGAGCCATGTAATCTGAGAGAGCAGCGCTCGCCAGCTCTGGAGGCTGGGCCCTCGCGATATCAGAGCCTGGCAGTGACGTGACCTGTTGCATAGTGCATGGCACCACGCCGCAGGCTGGACACTTACCAAGGAAGTCTTCTGTATGGCGCTGAAGACATTTGCGGCAATAGTTGGTGGTGCAGCAAAGAGTCTCTACACGGTCGTCGAAGTGCTCATCATGAAGCTCGCATAAAAGTCCTCGGTCGCGTATCGCTTTCTTCTCTGCTACGTCATCGAGCTGCCGTTGCCTAATGCTTGAATTGTCGGTGACTTGAATAATTCTGATGAGAGCGAAAGTGAAGAGCTCGGCAGAATCGTTCTGTTCTCCGAGTTTCCAGTTTGTTGGATCCAGCTCAGAAAGGGCCTTGAATAGTGGGCTGACGTCACTCGCCTGGATTGAGAGCGACTCCCGACCTAGCTTCAAGAAAAGCGTGCGTAGCTCACGCAGAAATTTGGTAGACTTTTGCATGTGCGCCGACATTGCAGTCGACGCATCCTGACCAGCTGGCGTCGCAGTCAGCCAAGATTGCGTATCGCGCCCAGACAGATCATGACCCTTCTGCTGTTCTTTGCTGATATCAAGAATGAAATCGCGCAGCGGTCTGATCGCGTAGAGCCCTTGGACGGACGAAGACAGGTAACATGTGTTGCCGATGTTCCTCATATTCAAGTATCGAGGAAACTTGAGTTTGACCATGAGCGACTGGTTCGGCCCACCTTCGCATTGTTTGCACGGCCAAGTTTCGGTATCTCCAGGCATGGCATCCAGACCAAGACAGTGGTAATGAGTCATCTTAGTCGCATGGTCTGCTGTGGAGCAAGCCAGGAGTGTGGTGTCATCTCCCGATTCGTCGCATTCAGAGCAGAATACAGTGACCAGGTCGCCTGGTGTCATGGCTTTCAAAGCTTCCAACGCTTGTAACTGCTCTGTGAAGAACAACTCATCGTCGTTCAAGGCAGCGGCGGGCTCGTCGTCTTGAACCTCTTCGTTTTCTAAATCTTCAGCGATCCGGCTTGCATCTAAGGCTCTCATCTTTGCCCTCCAAGATGCCTTATCCTTGTAAGATTTCGGTAGAGGCACTTTTAGGTAGTCGTTGAGGTTTGTCTGCATTTGGTCGTACCATTTCGTTGGTTCAATGGTGCGCACCGCGTCCTCGAGCTTTTTGATCAGAGCAGGTCCACCATGGAACTGATAGCGGAACCGGTTAGTCAACCAGCTTTCTGCTACCACAGTGCGCCGAGTGATGTCATAGTCCGTCTTCATGTCTTTTGGCAACAATACCGTGCAGCCAGTCTTTAGGTGATCTCCAGGGAAAATCACCCTATCTGCCTCATCTTTGACTTTCTGCGTGATACCGCGACCAAATGAGTAGACGGCCATATGTCCTTCGAATGGCGTCATAATGAACCCAAAGAGGTGGTCTTTGCCTCCGGTTTCAAGAAACTGTACCGCATACTCCAAAAGCAACGTTGCAGGCGACTCTTCAGTTTTGTGATGTGGATCACATTTCTGGCTCATCGTTTGCAACCGAGAACTGAACTCCTTGAAGAGGAATTCTTCGTCAAGATCTTGTGGACAAGTGTCTTTACGCCAAAACCAGGGTAACTTCTTCCTACCAAGCCGAGGGAACTTGATTCCGTGTGGGTTAAAATCGGGGTCTTTCTCCAACTGGTCGATGTTTTGCAGGATGATCTTCCAGTCCCAATACTCATCACCCATATCGAACATGAGGGAGCCGTCATCGTTTCTCAGGAATGGTCCACACTCTCCTCGTGTTCTGAAGATATGATGAAGTCCAGGGTCCGGTAATATGCCGTCCCAGACGCCAGTCTTTTCCATGTGCATAGCGTGTGGTACAGCGGCGAAATCTTGGCCTGGTCGAATTCGGTGTACATTTCTCCTTGCTGCAAGCATTGAGACGATTCGCTGATTGTCGTGCGCCTGTGATAGGTAAGTAAGGATAGCGACAGGAAAGCATAGGCTGAAGACTTACTCGCTCAATGATCTCCCATTTATGCTGGACTTCTTGATAGTATCCTTCACGGGGCGCTTGTCCATCCACCTGCTCACGAAGAAGCAAAGCCTCGCGATACAAGGGCACGGAGGACACGGGAAGTGTAGACTTCAGCAAATTGATGCAATGCAGCTCCAGAGTCACGTTTCCAAAGAAGTGGAGCGATATCTCGCCAGAAATAAGGTCAATACACCGCTGATGAGGCTTCTCGATGCTCATAGTATACGGATCATAGCCAGTTCGTACTCGCGTCTGCGCTTCTGGTACCAGACCCGACCTCGTCTTCAAGGAGATTTGCTGGCTTGGAGCGTATCCGCGAGTCCATAAGGACGGGTCTTTGGTCGAGTGCTCTTTCAAGAGAGGGACGGTCAGGTCTTCGGGTGTCCAGGATGGTTTCCATGACGGCTCAGATCCAGTGAGCTTGCATTCCGACCAGTGCACTTTGGAGAGGTGTTTCGTGATCTGGGACTGTAGGTCTTCGAGCGCCGGGTTTGCCTTTAGAATCTTTGGAGCTTTTGGGATGTCGGAAATCTCGCGACCGGCACAGCCAGAACAGGTGACGAGTAGTCCGTCTTTGTCGGGTTGTCTCATCGTCTCAGCGCATATCCAGCTGAGTCTACAGTGAACGCAGACATGTCTAGTCTGTTGCTGGACACTGATAGAATTGCAGGTACAGTAATCGGCGATGATTTGACTCCTTGTAAGCAGTCCAAGTTCGATCCGATCGACCGCCACATGCACTAGAAGCATCGTCTGTAGCAAGTTTTCCCCTTCGGCAAGCGCGCGTAGACATTGCTCAAACACCCAAGCATGACACACAGGGTCTCTCACTTCAGTTTGCGGACCTAATAGCAGCCCTAGGCTCCGAAAGCGTGGACTATCTGCGAGATGCGCAACGTCCTTGTCGAGTCCAGATAGATCTAAACCAGCTTGAGCTTCTCTGGTCATGGGAAAACAGACGTACTTGTTCAATCTTCGAAGACCGAGTACTCCAGCTTCTTTGCCGTGATATCGTGCTCGGTTTGACGTCGTCGGTGTGATACTATCGCTCCCAAGAGGCATAGATTTGTGCATGAAACTGGTATAAAGCGCTTTGGTAGTTCCAACCATGCCAACCATACCGTGAAACATGATTTGCATAGCTTTGACTGCGATCCGCTCTTCCTCTTTGTTCAAGTCGATGTTGCGTAGAGTTAGGTTTTTGTCTTCTGCGCCCTGCACTGGCTCGGCGCCAAACAAATGCCAACCCGACGAGTATGGAGCGGCCTCAACGGCTGCGGTGTCGAGTTTGTTCCCTAAAATAGAGAACTGAGGGGCGCCGCCGTCAGTGGCGATCATGAAAGGTGGGCAGTAGCCTCTTCGTCTCTGTTGCAGGAATCCGGTTGCGAACCGAACTGCTGGAATTGTGAATGGCGCGCAGCCAGCAAAGCCTTCTTTGCTGTTCCATAGAATCTCTCCGGGAGGTATAGTACCGAGGTCGAGTTGTGGGTAGTCGTGTTTCTTCCACTCAAGCAAACTCGTCACAGATACGAAACTCCCCACAAACCCTCGGTTTGCGTACCAGTTGGCGAAGTCAAAGTCCAACGGATATCTGTTGATAACATCCACCGTTATTTGACCTAGCTTGATGATCTTTTCACGGTTGTCGCAGACGGTGTCGGTAAGTATATTCCATGGGCGGCAAGTTTTGATTCGCTGCTCGATTTGGAGAGTGAGAATATGCCAATCCTGCCCAGTCTGTTCAGCCTTACACTCATCACCTCTACCAGCGGCGATACAATTTTGGCATGGTGTTTGCCTGTCGCAGGACTTGTTCAGGTCATCTGGGGACTGTTTGCAAGACGGACAAAGCGCTTGAGGTGTCTTAGGTATCCATCCTTGGACATCGTTGATCCTGGTTACTCCGGCCGTTGGAATCACTTGGTATAGATCGATCCGCTCGTTCGGGTCCGCAGAGCTAACGTTCTTGGCTTGCATCACCCTATGATATGGTATGTGAGGTTAGCACAGCTCTCACATTTGACCTGTGTCTTAGGCGTTGAAACTTACCAGCATCGTGCATTCACGCCGTTAGGTTGAACATAATCGACAAGATTGACGGATTCTTCGTCGAATTCATAGAGCCGGGTATCTGGAGCATGATGCGGTAGATCCCTGACGTATTTGGCGCCTTTGGTGTCTGACAAACCGTATGTCGGTAGAGCGGATAGGTCTTCGCGCGCTGTCTCCTTGAGCTTCAGACCTTTGCTGTTGACAAGGTCCAAGAAATGGGATGCGTTTTTCGTAGTCTCGTCGATGGTGATACCAAGATTGGTCTGATCAAGAAGCGTTGATGTTGCTAGGTCGCGACGAGGGGAATCAGCTGGCGGAGGATCGGCCTTAGGCCGCTTGACTACTTGCGACTGTCGTTGATATATGCCTTTCCGCTTGGGGCGTCGGCCTTGGGTCGTTTCGTCAGGTGATGCGTTGGCGGAGTCCTTGGACGAAGCCAGAGTTTGGGACGCCTTTGGCGGCATAATGTTGGTGGTCGCGCTCTGCTACGATCAATCTGTTGCTGAATCTGAACGAAGAAGGAATGTTGGTCGGCGGGGTGGAAGGTCAGTGCAAATTCTTCTTGGACGAGTCGGTGTAGTCCACGGGTATTCGCAGTGACTGAATTTGCGTGACGCAAACACTGAACTGCAATCAGGCACCCGTATACAAATTGCGTCATTGTACAAGACCAGAAGAGTGAAAGCTAGCGAAAATTTAGCGGGCGGGAATACTGACGCAACCATAAGAACATCCGATGTTATGATTTGAGACAGGACGGATGTGAAGGACATCGGGAGTATCTAGCTGGACGATGGGAAAGCCATTTCTGACACCAAATCGAACATGTTACCCAAGTATACCTTCATCCGCACTAGCTAGACCATAATTGCTGTCGCAGTGTTGTGCAGATGCTGTTTGAGGCATGCACGTAGTGTAGATGTCTCATGTCTCACAAATGGACAAATGCCTAGCTACAATCTATTGATCTATTGGGTGAATGGTTCGTACCGCCTTGCTGCCCCTGCACAAGCCCCGTTGCTCCAGAGTGACGTAGGAAATCAGCGCGGTTTTGGTTGTTTGTTTGTCACGTGCAGCTAGTGCTGCATTCGCCATACCTAGATATCCATGTAAGGTTACCTAACACTTCACACTTCACGAACGCTAAACTCGCTTTCTCTTACCACACCAAAATCGACCCTATACACGTTCTAGATGGCTACTCTTGATGAACTCGATCACCAGTTTACGAGGGACCTCAACGCTGCTGTTGTGCTCCTCGAACAAGACGAATTCGAGAAGTGTAACGAGGCCTTGCGCAGTCTGATCGCTGACTCTGCTATGCCTCGTTATCACCGCATCAAATGTTTCACGGTGCTTGCGGGTCTTCTGGATGACTTCCATGAAGCATACGTCTTTTACGTCAAGGGCGAAACCCTTTGGCGTATTACGAAGCAATGGCATGGTAACGATCCAAATCCGGCTGTGAAAAAGGCGCTGGATGAACTTCACGAGGGCTTGGAAGAGATGAGGTGGGTTCGCTCTGGACTATTTGGAGACAGAAACTGAATTGTGTGCCTTCAGGGAAGCTTTGGTCAACGACGAGGAACGGCCCGACGACACACCAATCCCGGACGTTGAGGCAGATGTGCTTCGTACCCTAGAATTTTACTACGCCAGAGTGGAGGAGGATCGTGAGATCGCGGAGGCAGAGGGAGAGACGTGGTCAGAGGACGAGATGAGCGACGAGGACATGGGCGGCGGAGAGGAAGTGAGCGACAAGGAAACGAAGGTCGAGGTCGAGCAGAAGTCGGGCGACAAAGAGGAGAGCGATGCGCAGAACGTTGGCGAAAAAGAGACAGCGGTACAGGGCAAAGAACCAAAGGACGAGATGGTATGTCTGGAAGGTGTTGCTGTTGAAGGGTTCTATTAACATCGCGCAGGTGCTACCATACCGTCCGCCACACACACGCTATTCCACTTTCGGCAGAAGCAGGAACATCATGTCAGAGAAGTCTTGGAGGCCATAGGCTTGGTCGAACAATCGGGCTTGAGTCTACAGTGGTACAGCCGCGGAAACTTGGTGTAGTACCCTTGTGTCTGGGTCGTTGATTACTATACACAAGCTGTTTGGTGCCTTCTTGTTTTGCGCAAAAGTCAGATTTTGCTGGGAACGAAGCAGTTGGATTTTGTCCTGGATGGGGTGCTTGCCTCCACCTTTAGCTGTAACAGTAGCTAACGAATCTCACCAACCTTGGAACGGAGAAATTCTCGAACATATCCGCAACCTTACAAGCTGTCTGTGTGGCAAGTGTAACTTCAGGGTGCACACCATGTGGACGCCATTCGCTGTTTCCCTAGCGTTCAGATTGCTCGCTTGCGGCTTCCCGGGAAGATAGATTGCCCCAGACGAAAATCAGGACTCACGAAGCGCGCCGTTCTGGGCCATGACCACACTCGGCAGCGGAATAATTTTTACTGCAATATTATCTTCTTAGCTTGTGACCGGTTTCCCGAGCTGTGAAATATCTTGGAAGCTACAGGGCGCGTACTATGTGTGTGTGACCAAGGAGCAACAAGCTATGCTTCGCCTTGGTGACTATGCCCATTGCTGCCGTAACGTCGTAGGTAATGACCTGTGGTCATCTAACCGTACTATACAATGCTTGACTTCCCATATTCGATCGGTTGATGTGCTCCGTCTCTGATCGGGAATGTCATGAGCCACCATACAAACTATCAGGACCTTTGAAGACGTATAAGAACAAGTAGAAACAAGTGCAACTAATCAGCATTAAAACAACGACATTCGCTATCATTCTCTCGTTGTCCCCATGATGTACAAATCTGCACTCCTCCTTTGCGCCGTCGCTGTCCTTCTCGACACAGCATCCGCCCACGGCTTCGTCAAAGGTGTCAATGTAAAGGGCACCTTCACCAACGGCTCCGATCCTGTGTGGTACTACTTCTCGAAAGACAGCCGCCCCCAAACCGCAGGCTGGGATGCGTTGAACCAAGACATCGGTTTCGTCGAGCCCGCATCCGTCGGCACAGCAGATGTAAACTGCCACAAGAGTGCTACGGCCGGACGTCTCTACGCTGACGTCAATCCGGGAGACACCATTGAGTTTGAGTGGAACACTTGGCCTGATAGTCACAAGGGCCCGATTATCAACTACATTGCGCCTTGCAACGGTGAGTCAAGTACATGAATAAGTACAGCATGCGCTTTTACTAATCAATCCTTTCCCACAGGCGACTGTACCACTCTGACGCCCAGTGCTCTCCGCTGGTCCAAGATCTCCCAATCCGCCATCGTCAGCCCAGGAACTTGGGTTACAGACACATTGATCGAAAACAAGTTCAAGGTCTCTACTGTCCTTCCTGCCAAACTTGCTCCTGGCAACTACGTTATCCGTCATGAGATCATTGCTCTTCACGGTGGGCAGAACGTGAATGGCGCGCAGCTGTATCCCCAGTGTAAGCCCCTTCATCTCTGAGACTACTCTAAATGCAAAAAGATCATACGCTGAGTATTACTGTAGGTTTGAACCTCAAGGTCGGCGGTAGCGGTTCTGTTGCACCGACGGCTGGCGTCCCCGGTACTAATTTGTACACGAAGGACATGCCGGGTATCGTGTTCAACATCTACACCAATCCTACGACTTACACGTTTCCTGGCCCGGCGCTGTGGACTGCTGCTAACTAGGCGCTGTTGTCAGAGCTCTGTGCTCGAATGGAGAGGATTGGAGGGCTAGGGGCTCTCAGGCCTTGGTTGTGAACTGGCGACTGACAATGTCAACTGCTGGCGGGTGGTGAACGATTTCTCTTCGTGTTTATACTTGGTCGTCTTGATATGTACATAACCCCAACATTCGTTTTATGGAATCGGACCTCGAATTGCAGACGATCTTCAGAGAGCCCTGCTTGGTGTCTCCTGTAGGGCCCACGAGTGAGACCCGTGAATGTAGCTGGTTCAGCAGATGATGACTGAGCAATCTGTCCGTTGGCATGAGCGCGTGAAGTTTTGTAGAGGTATATTGCAAGCCTAGCTCGATGCCTAGAATTGAAACAGTAACACTAGGAGGACTGATCAGCCAACCATGGGTGAAAAACGCCAGACTCCTCATTTCCCTTTTGAACAATACACTCGACACACGGTCGATCACCTTCTTCTCCGCTTGTCGCATTGCTCTCACTTCTTGACTGTCTTAGCAGCCTTGCCAACAACCTTGACCAGCTCTCCGTATGCCTCGGTGAACTCCTCGTCGCCCTCGCCGGCCTTCTTGCCCATCCTGTCCTTGCCGATCATGACCACACTGGTGGGTCGCTTTGTTGCGCTTGCCTCGCCGAGCTGCGCGCGGCTCTTGATGTAGATGTAGGGTACGTTGTGGTCTTCGCAGAGAACGGGGATATGCGCAATGACGTCCATGGGCGAGATATCGGCGGCGATGACAACAACGGCGCTGGGGTCGTCGAGGGAGGATCCAGCGCCTGAAGCAGCGGACTTGCGCAGCGCTTTTACGACTTCTTTCACACCGCGGCGGAGGGTCTTGGACTTGGCGGCTGTAGAACGATCAACGTCAGTCTTGTTCCTTTAAAGTGCGCCAACAGGCCAATACATGGAAAATGAGAAACTTACACTTCTTGACGGTCTTCAGGATCTTCTTGACCTCCTTGTCGTTGTCTGCGAGAGGGAAGGCAAAGGGAACAAGTGCGCCGCGCGGCTCATCACCGTCCACGACGTTGACCATTGAGACTTCTGGCTCCTTCTCGAGCTCAGCCTCGAGCGCGTCTACCATCTCGACATCGCCCTTGACCTTCTTCTCCTTCTTGTCCTTTTTGCTCTTGGACACGCCGTCTGTCTCCGCGCGCTTTTCCTTCTTTTCCTTCTTGTCCTTCTTCTCCTTCTTCAGCCTCTTCTCTTCAATATCTTTCGACATGGTGTGGATAAGCGACTGTAGTTTTTGGATAGCAATTAGAAACGCGAAGATGTGGTGGCTGGTAATGCGTCGTGCTGAAGTCGCCCGGGCGGTTTCGCGAAATTTGCTTCATCGCGCTAGCGGGTGGTCTGTGCCTCCCAAGACATGCAACCAGTCTGATTTATGAGATAACCTTCCTACCAGCCCTAACTAAGAAATGCTAAAACTGTGGAAACCTTATAGTAAATTTAACTACTACTATAACTATGTAAATATATTAAAATAAAGTGTAGAAAACTTTTTCTATATTAGTAAGACAAAACTCTCCGTGAACCAGTTCATCGTACCGAAATGAGGATGAGCGAGATTATGACCAACCCGACAGCCAACGAAGAGCTCCGTGCTCGCCTTACTGAGCTCATGAAAATCGGAACAGACATGTCGGCTCTAGAAAAGAAACAGCTAACTAGTAAGTCGCTCCGCTGACTCCCCTATCCCTCATTTGTTGCTCTTACCACAAGGTCTGGGCCGGTTGTTGAGCTTCAGCAGCGAACCTATGTTTCATCGTCGGCGCTCACGAGCACCCGACGTTCGACCCACAGACCGTGTACCTACTGTTAGGGCAGCATGTCGACTGGCCTGGGTTCTCGATGTATTACATTGATGGCCACAACAAGATCGAAGGCAAACGAACCTTATCGAGGGAAGATGCACTGGATGGGCTACGAACTGAAGTCGAAAAGCAGGTTCTGAGTATATGCCGAAGGCCTTGAAGTCCAGCATGGTGTGTTTCTCGGGACCAAGTATCAAGTTTTATCTCTGCTCGTATAGCATCAGCTGTTGATGTGTAACTCCCAATCGTGTCTTCCTCTGCTAGCTCTAGACAGTTTTCATCCAGCTCGGTTCCTCCTGCTCAAACGACTTGAACCCTGGAGCGGGAATCTTATCAAACAGTCCACCCTTCAACGCAATCTTATCGCCAGCCAGTACAGACGTGATTGGGCTTTCTGCAGTTAGCTGGACTTCTCTTCAATGCTGCATGGACCATGAGCTCACCACCCGCAGTTGCTGCAGAATTGACGAGTAATCGGATTCCCGCTCTTCGTGTCGTTGTCTCGGTAGTCTTTGAGATACTTGTCCGGATCGTTGATTGTGACTTGGGGACTGTCGAGGATGTATACGATTGATCCGATGCTTCCTCCTGCGCGGCGGCAGTTGGCGCTTCTACGGTCAGTATGAAGATGCCGGCGAGATTGTAGTGATGATGCATACCAGTAGCAAATGGCGGACTGCTCAGGCATAGTAGGCATGGAAACTTTGATGCTTCCGCAGTTGCAGCGTCCCTCGGCCATCGTGATTGAATGAGAAACGGGGTTACGTCGGTCACTAGTATAGAGATTTGCTATTCTGCAATGCTGACAAGAGAACTGGAGGTAGGGAGACTTTGAATAGAAGATGCGAGGGAATGTCTTGCGGTAAAGGGGTGCCAATTACACGATTTACGACAGGAGCAGTTTGGGTCTCATATAGCGTGGAGTTTGTGATCAGGTGGAGATAGCGGAGTAGCTGGAGGCCTCGGTAAACTAAACGGGGCGAGTCGCTGCCCGTAACGCGCATCGTGTGTTACTATCGCCATCCAGAACTGTGTTATTGCTTCATTGAGTCGTTGCATCCAAGGTTCGGGACGCGACGATGACGCCTCGGGCGAGGCATGCTTCCAAAGGCAAATGATCCTGGTTTACCTATGCACGTAGATACCGGATACTCAATGGAAGCTTGGTGACATCCCTGACGCGGTCAGTTGAGGAAACCTTCTGTATTCTATGACAAGACGGGGTAAAAGGCCTCCATCGATTCGATGAACCGATCGGCATTTTTCATAGTGCTGTTACTGATCCGTCGCACAGGGGCTTCGTGTATAGTGTAGTGTGTAAGCATTACTCATCCTCTCGTCCCAAAACACACAGTACAGCAGCTGAGGAGATGTCTTTCATAGACAACGTTGTAGAGAAGATCACTGAGACGAAGTGAGGTCAAGGCATGATATGCGTAATCCCCAAAGGCATCCAAATCCGGCTAGCGCGCCATCCAGTCCTAACGCGGCGCGATTCCGCGTCTACAAACGATGACCAGAACAACACGACGGTACAACCACAGAGCGAAAAATATACTGCACAACCCTTGCCCGAACCTCTAAAGCCGAAGCGCAACTTCAGAATGGTAATTGAAGATCCTCTCGCCTTGGAAACTAACCCCATACTAACCCCCACAGACGCGCGACTCAACAGCAACCTACCTCCACATGCACTCGTCGCACCACGCCGACCTCCTCGAGCAATTCACCAACCTCACCTCCTCCCAACTCACACCAGAAGACATCTACATCCCGCCGCACCTCCAACCCGTAAACCCCGAAGACGAAGACGACGTCGTCCCAGACCAACACGCCGCATTCGGCATCCAGCGAGCGACACAAACAAAGAAGGAGCCGACGTGGCGGGATCTAGGTCTTGATGAACTACTGAGGAGAGGTCCTATGGTTGGCGGAAGCGGGAGTGGCAGCGGGACTGCTGTTGCGAGCGGTGGTGGGATTGTTGGGCAGGGAAGGGAGGAGCCGTTGAGGTTGGCTTTGGCCAGGCAGCCCGGTGCGAGGATGGGAGTTAGAGCGGGGAATGGGAGTGGTGAAAGTTCTGGGAGTGGGGGTAGTGGTGCGAGTGGTGCTGCTGGGAATGGGTTGCCGCGATGAAGGGAGGCCACCCACTCAAGGATAGGTGCTGAAAATGGCGGCAAGACACGGTTTCCGGCTCTGCGACACAAGATACGGGCAGTGGGCAGGTCGTAATGGTGCTCTGACTGGAGCTGCTATACCGACGTCTGAAGGCCGCTGTGGCAGGGATGTTGGCGACGGCATCAAAGTCTACTACAATCGCCGATGAAGGCCATCCGAAGTGGTACTTTCCTGCGCATACCAACAACATGGATGGCTTCACGACGGTTCACTGGGCGAGAAGAGTTGACATGGAAAGAGCGCGGAAAACAATCCTACCTGCGCAGGGCTTCAAGACATGCGTTGTGTCTTTGGTTAAAGTGTGACCACATCGTAAATGGACAGAACAAACTTCCATTCACAGGAGTCGATACGGCATAACAAAGCCACGGACATCATATTTGGCACATTGAGCGACGCAATGAGAATCACTCCCAGTGATGCTAACTCTATGTCTAGATAGTGGTTTTATACTCGGACGCCTCTCAGCCCACCTGATACATTCGGACACCCTCCTCTGTCCTTGTAGTGTCAACGCTTACTTGCTGTGTACGCAGGCACATCAACCTACGTGCGCGCTCGCAGTACGCTTGCCAGACAAACACCGCCTTGATCACGCACCACACATAGTGCCACCAACGCATCCGGCCGACACCTCCGTTGGCCCGAGGCATCTCCTGTTGAACGATCCTGTACATCAATGCCCGCGCTAGAGCCTCCCAGTTCGCGCATCGACCGCAGCCGTCACCTACTGTGCCCTCAAGATCCCTAATACGGTCGCACACGAGCCGGTACATCTTAAAAGCATCTGTGTGCTTGGCGAGTGGTGCGACAGGGCGTCCCAGAGACTTGAGATCGTTGAACCGAGGTTCAGCCGTTACGAGCTGTACTGGGTTGTGCCGCTTCATGTACGATGGATCTTTGGGTACCCCCTCCTCCTGTCGCAACGACTGATAATGGAAGCGACGAGCAACGTTGATCATTATAATGGGCAAATCGTGGATTATGGCTTCTGCATTCCACTGAAACGGCATCGGCGCGGTAGTGGTGAGTAGTTCTCGAGTCTGCAGGTTGATGATTCGATACGTCTCCTTTGCTAGAGATGTTGGTATATGAAGGGCTAGAGAGAGGCCCTGGATGCCGACATCGTGTCGACCGCCGTCTGAGTTCTCTAGTTCATATAGAAAAGGAATCCCAATCGGCTCGCGACACATGGGGCAAAGACATTTTCGGTTGCTTTTGAACCACACACTCAGACAAGAACGGCAGAAGACATGTCCACACGGTGTCCGGATGGGTTCGACAGTTTGTTCGAGGAAGGTCTTCCTGTATGCTCCCGGTAGTTGGCTGAGGAAGTCCAGGTGTGTCTCGACGCCTGCATCGATGCTTCCATATTCTCGACCACAGACAAAGCACGTCGGCTCATCCCGTGGTGCTTCCGTGGGTGTAGAGACGGCGAGTACGCGGTCAACAACGTCTTGGTATGTGGCAGATGATGAGTCCATGTTCGGTTGAGGTCTATAGTTGTATAAACGCATTTAGACTACTGGGTAGCCCATTTATCCTCCATGGCTCTGGGTTGCCACCAACGAATAGCAAAATTCCTGGTTGCATTGAATGATCGCAGACGGAGTCCAGTCGCCACAGTCATTCACCTTCGAGCTGTTTAGCCCAGGCGATGTGTGATGCTATGCATGTAAGCGTTCAACTGACACAGCTTTCACTTATTCGTGTATAGCTCGTAATATAGTATCAACAGTGGGTGTACTTGGTATATAGCATGTGAATGCTGATTTGAGACAAATGTGCTGCTCAGTCATCCGTCAGATCAATACATTCAACCCCCACCGGTACCTTATATGTACTTGTTGGTTGTTTGTTTGGCGTGGCAGCAAGCGAAAAAGTATGTGGCTCGTTTGCGTCCTTGGCAGGTTCCAGAGATGTCGTTGCAAAGTGTCTAAGCCTAGCAGCGCGTATCTCAGCTGCGGTAGGTGCAGGAGATGGTGCAACTTGATCTTCTGTATTTGGATTCGAAGGTAGCGTTGCAGGCACTGACAATAGATTAGCGCGCGGAGGAGGGCGCGACCAGTCAGGTAGGTCGACTGGTTCCCTTCCTATAAGACCTGCGTGAACACCCCTCATTGGCATGCTTGATATGCGCGATTCATTCTCCACTCGTTGGGAAGTTTGAGAAGCTCTGGAGGGCTCGGCCGCGCTGAGTGCTTCATCAAGCGACCAAGCAGGTACAGAGGCC